GAAGCACTAGGGATGCGCTTCAGGAGCACTGTTACTGCTTCCTGCTGCAGAATATCTGGCATCAAATTTATCCCTGCTGCAATTCCATTAATTTCCAGAGTCTTACCTATAGATAGACTTTTTCTGTAGCAAATTATGACCTGACTCTGGGTTAGAGAGAAGGCTTGGATCACTGCTCTATGCCACTTTGCCCTGGATGATGCCCTGAGCTTATTTTGAGCATTACAATGATCTCTTTGCATACAGTTGGCAGTTTCCTGTCAACTTGCTTTATATTTTCAATCCTACTGTCTGCAGGTTAATTTGGAAGAGCAGGTTGTACTAATCAGGCACCAGGAAGGAAATTACATGCCTTGAGAGGTAGCCTTGCGTGAAGCTGTTGAAAATGAAGCAGCTCCTGATTAACTGTTTGTTGACAAGTCCTTGGTCATCAAATGGTATTCTGCCTTTCCTTGTTCGGGGACAGTACTGGTTCTTTGGCTCCCAGCTGTCTTTAAATTGCTCATTTTGTGAATTCAACATCTTTGCTTATAAAGACCTAACAGAGAAGGGAAAAGTTCTGCAATTTTATTTTGGGGTTGATAATAAACTGAGTTATTAGCGTTTTCTTAGTCTTCTTGTTCTGCTCGGTGAACGCTGCATTCAGTTCATATTCATCTCAGCGTACGTTCTCCTGATGGCTGAAGGTGTCTCTATACTCGACTGCCCTTTTGCTTGCCTGTCACTGTACTGCTTTTTAAGAGCATAGCACACTGAAAAGTTAATATTTCTTTTTTCTTCTTTATCCTGATTGAGTTCTTCTTTCATGCAGAGAAAATACTGGACAGATAATAGTTATGTCATTTCTCTTCACAGATTGTGATCCCCTTCTTCAGCCTATTGATCAAAGACATTTATTTTTTGAATGAAGGATGTGCTAATCGCCTTCCAAATGGACATGTCAACTTTGAAGTAAGATCTGAAAACCATTTTTGTCTATCCCATTCCGATAGCACTATCTGAGATTGTTTGCCTGCTGTTTCAGTACAGACCAACAAAGACTCAGTATGCCAAAACAGATGATCTCAAGTGACTGTGTGAATGTTAAACCAATCCCAGAATGTTTTTTGAAAGAATTAATATGTATGTTCTATATAAACATTACAAGCAGATCATCCTGACTTGCTTGATGTCAGTTGGCTGGTAGAAATACAGTGTCAGCAGTATAAATGACTGTACTTATGGCCTGGAAGGGAAGATGACTTTTTCAAAAAACATATAAAACTGTTTTTCCTGCATACACACACAAACAAATCACTATAAAATGCTTTAGACTTTATTTTGTCTGCCTTTTTAACCCATTCTCACTTTTAACAAAGAGGTTTGGCAAAGTAAGATGTAAATTACTTGTGGTCATTAAAGATTACTATAAAGCAGAATTACATATAAAGTACTGAGTCACTGTGTCCATGAGGTAAATGTTATGCTGCTGATGTAAGGAGTCAAATGTGTTATCTCCTGCCTGTAGGTTTTACACAGGAGAATTTCTGTTAGATGCAGAAAGATTTCTATTGCCCCACAGTGCTGGCACTAGGTAGTATTAGTCCCATATCCTGAGTAACCCCAGTTCTGTGCTGGAGCGGATGGTTTTACACCAGTACGACTTGTTGGTAGTGGTGTGCAGGCGCTCGGGTGTCCTGCGTTGTGGTGCGCATTGCGGTGGCTGGGTTCTTGCAGTCGGGTGGAGGGGCAGAGAGGAGGCGCTTCTGAAAGAACTGCCCAGTGTCAATGAGAAAATAGCTTTTGAGCTCCCAAGTCCTTTGTAAATCATTTCTGCAGCATCACTTTGGTTGCATTAAATTTCTCCTTCAGTTATTGGCATTGTGAGATATTGAGTAATGCATAAAACACTGAGCCTGGCATCGCCTTAAATTATATCAGAACTGTTAGAAGGCCTAAAGAGTTGTAATGCATTGGAGTTGCTACACTTTATGTAATTTATATCTAATCCCACTCCCTCCTGTTCCATCAAAGTTTATATCCTCTGTTCTTAAGTACAGATGTGTAACCCATAACTTTGTTCATGGGTACATTTTTGAGAAGGCTTGCAAGAAGAAATGTGGCACAACCTTTCCTCTCTCTTTCCCCTGTAAATGAACTGTGGAAATGGACCCAGCTAAAACACACAAGGCTCTTTTGTCCTGATTTCCTTGTGGTTGGCACGAGAGATTCTGGATCTTGGCCTTCTGCTTAGATATGTTTATTTTACTGCGATAATCTTACTGTATCTGAGTGAAATGGTTTTATGTTTACAGAAATTTCTGGAACTGGCTAAGCAAGTAGGAGAATTTATAACATGGAAGCAAGTGGAATGTCCCTTTGAACAAGATCCTAACATCATCCACTACTTGCATACTGCTCCCATTTTTACTGAAGATGGTAAGACTGTGCAATCTCTAATCACTGCAGATATGTCTCTTCATCACTGCTTCTTAACACACTGATCCATGCTTTGGTGATCTCTCTTGCTGACCAGTCCCAGTTCTTTCCTAGCTTTCCTGTCATGCAGCCTGTTTATCCTCAGCCTATAGATGTGTTTTTGCAAATACAACCTTCTGGCTTGTGCAGCTGCTGCCCAATTGCTTTTCTCTTGTCCATAACTTCTCTCTAAGACGCTTTCTAGGAGGTTGCCATTGTGGCCCTATTTTTGTAGTCACAAAGAGGCCGCACAGCCGTGTCCTGGACTGCTCTGAATGTCAGCTGTCTCTTAGCAGCTAATTCTGTGATTGATGGAGCCAGAACTAATCTCTTCCACAAACCAACACTGTCCCCTCTTCAGTGAACGCAGCCCAGGGCAATGGTAGTCCAGCTGACCTCCTCTGCTACAGCAAAGAAATACGTTATCTACAGAAAAGATTTTAAGAAAATCTTTTCTAGTAGTTAATTTAAGCTGTAGCTATGAAAGCCCTGCTCTGAATTACTTCTCTTATTGTCTTTTTATACTTATCTCTTCTCTTCAGTTTGGTATCCAGCGTGTCAGACTGTGTCATTTCATATTGGTTCATGGCAGTTGCCTCTTGGTACATTGTCACGCACAGACTTGTCTATAGCTGTATTCCCATAAGCTACACTGGTGCTGGGTTGGGTTTTTTTCCTTGATTCTATAGGCAGTTTTCTGTTCTAATCCAAGTTAAGCAGACCAGACAGTTTTTATTTCACAAAATACTGCTTAAAAAATCTTTCTTAAATCTAAAGATGAATGACTGCCAAAATGGAATAATTAATGTGATTAAAGTAATATGGAAAGGAGATGGGAGGGAGGCATTTGTTTTGGTTTTAGGCTCTAAGAGGACAGAAAGTAAAAGTCAGGGGTATCTCAAAGTGGTGTTTAAAAGTTCAGTTTTTAGGCTGCTGGGCCTAAAGGGTGACCTCAACCCAGTAATTGTTTGCAGATTTTCTCTTGCGCCCTCTCCTGTATCCATCCTGCTTTCATGAGCTGCCCTTTGCAGAGCCCACAGCAGCTCTCCCCTGTTGCCCAGGGGAAGTGCAGAGCAGAAAGACCTGCCCCGAGTAAACAGTGGGAGAATCTGTTTGAGCAATGCAGCAGTGGTATGTGAAGTGCAGCTGTACTCTGCTTGCCACAGTGGGGAGGAATAGTGGGCCAACACGTGAATAGTAACATGAAATTTAGTTGTAGCATAGACTTGAATACTGAGATGGTTCCAGCACTGAAGAATAAAGCATTGCTAAACAGTCAAATGAGGAAATGTGTGAACACAGATCACAGCCTACTTAAAAAAAAATCTGTGAAGACACTGAGATATTAATGCATCTCCAGCTTTTGCAGAGGAGACTCTACAGCCCCGGATGCACGTTGGTATCATAAAATACATCCTACAGTGCAAAGTTTTTTCAGGAAAAAAAAGACCTGCTTATTTTCTTCTCTGGTTTCTGTAACTCATTCTTATCTTGAAGGTGTTTTGTATCCATTGAAGATACCATGTCCCCATAAGCTTTAAAAAGATTGAGGAAGATAAAGTTGTGTTAAATGATGGCAATATCTTTAATTTTATAAAGTTTATTTGTTTAGCTGTCAGTTCACTCATTCTTTCTCAGTATTCATATAACACTTTGATAGCAGTGCTGTGATGGAGTAAATAGGTTGAGATCTCTATATGCAAAACAAGGGTCCACTTAAATGTTTAATATTGTTATGAGAAGGTCACAGTAACTCTGGGCTCCTTTAGTGTTCCATCAAAATTAACCTAACAGCTTTCCAAAGGTAAACATGTGAGCTAAACATCAGTGGCCTACTGATTACCAGCTACCTGGCAGACCACGAAGTTTTAAAGATTCTCTTGCTGAGTGGTACAATATAGGACATGCAAGAATGCAGAGAGATGGGAGGTTACCGTTGCTGCTGGAATAACACATTTACCTTTTTCAGGTTTGTATCTGGCTTCCTATGAGAGCGAAAGTCCAGAAAACCAGACAGAAAAAGACAGGTGGAAATCCTTAAGGTAAGCAGGTGTTCTATCAGCTCATTTCTAAAGTATCTCCCAAATGCTGCACTGATAGTCAAAGCTTGTAAAGTGCTGGTGCATAAAATGTGGCCTCTGGTGGAGGTCTTTTCCATTTAAGACTAATCTACAGAGCTGAGGCTGCACTGATAAAAGCTAATGGTAATCTCAGACTATCCCCCATTTAAAAAATCCCCTCTGCCTGTGTATTTATACAGCGCTGTACCCACGCAGAAGGGGCCTGGTGTAGATGAAAAATGTCCTAGGTTATCTGGCTCTTCCTACAGTTTATATCTCTTAAAAGAGATGTGTAATGGTTTGATGTGAGAATCTGAAGAGAGTGATTTAAAACAAAAAAAACCAACCCAGCTTTACATTTGCTTTTTTTTCATTGTTCTTGTTTTAAATTTACAGATCCACTATTTTAGGAAAGACTTGAAGATTAGGAGATTATTGCAGTAGGTCAAGGAAAAGAAATTCGCAAACATTTTGCACTACTGATTCCAAAGATGCCTGTTTGGGATTTAGACAATTTCTTTTGTTTGAGTTTTTGTTGGGTTTTTTGACTGCCTAACGTGATGGATGAACTGGATTCATCCATTGAAATCAACAGAATTGTGTGCACAATGACGCTTTTCTAACTAGGAGACACAGAGAGGAAGGACAAGCAGACTATTTGTGGCTGTGCCCAAACTGCATCAGGATCACTGTAACTTTTGCCTCTGAAGGAAAACATAAGAAAATCAGGAGCACGGAGAACCATGGTACTGCAGAGAACGGAAAAGTATAAAAAAAGGAAAGCAAAAAATACATGAGTGTTTCCAAAGCAGGTGCTTCAGACAGCAGCTCTTTAAACCCTCTGAGGATTGTAAAATTAAATCAAACAGACACAACAGCAATCTGGTTAATTGCTGACTGAAGAAAGAAGAACGTGATCTTCCATTAGCGGTCCCCAGCCTTGTTGAACAAAGCACTGACTGCTACAGGTATAAGCTTCCAGTGGATGAGAACTGACATCGCTCCCTCCTATGTACACACGTATGTCACATGGAGGCCACACCGGCATGGGACACTCGTACAAACCCATGAGTTTTTACAGAGAACAATCTGAAGTTACAACTACGGCTTAGTTATTCTTCCTACCACTGCTGTTGCTTTTTTACTGTGAATCTTGGCAGATCTGAGGAGGGCACAGAGTGCAGATGATATTCCTTAAACACCCTCTACACCACATCTAAAGTTGAACTGAAGAAGCAAATTACTCGAACTCCACTTACCTCTATTTAATGTATGCCATGTATTCCCTGATTTTGTTGATGCTGAGTTGCATCTTTTAGAGGGTTAAATCACACTTAAAGAAAAAATATTACAATTTGAAAAAAATCTATCGGGTTCCAATTAGAACAGCACTGTTTACTTTGCAACATGATACTAGGAGGATTGGAACAAGGAGGTAATTGCTCTGGAATTGGGAACTACGTGGTATGCTTTAAAAAGCAAAGGGTTTCAGACTAGAATGAATGCACTAAAGAATTTGCCATTCATGAGCAGATAACCATTTTTCTTTTTTTTATTTTTGGGATCTAAACTGTGTTCACCATTTCCTTACAGAGAATATGAAGTCGGAACTATGTTTTGTATTTGAAGTTGTACAATAATCAAGGTGCTACTGCAACACATATATTAAATGATAATGAACGATATGGATATTAGATTCAATAATAAGCCCTAACAGTAGACTAACTATATGTGGAAGGAATGTTCCTGCCTGCTCCAGAAAAGACCTCAAAAAGCTTAAACGAAACCTAAATGCCACATGATAGTTGATTTTGTGTTTTGTTACTGACTTGATGCTGCCCTTTTCAGATGTTCCAGCCTTTCTCTGCCTACAGCAGAAGGACGTAACCCTTTCTTTGAGATCAGTAATAGTTTTATTTTGGTACATAGTGATTCCAAGTGGCTGCAGTGTTTTGAATAATTAGGTTAATCGCAAAACCGGGCTCTGTTGGCCTGTGCGTTTCGCCAGAAAACTGGAACTGTTCCTGCCCTCTGCCAGGCCTCAAAAGTTTACCCATGTCTGAGAGTTGTTGAAAAGGAAAGCGTTGATGAGCTAATTCTGAGATGAGCAGGACAGCTGCTTCTGGATTTGCATACGTAGGCGCTTGAAGCAGAATTTGAGTTCTCCTTTTCGTATAGGTCTATCAGTGCATGAATTCAAGCAGGGGGGACGTAATAATGTCGTGTGTTTATTCAGGCTTTGTATGGAAGAGCTCGGTGTAAGGATGGTACAACATCATTCCAGTCAGGAATCACTGTTCTGGTGAGACTGTTAATACGCTGTTTGTTAATTTTTGTACGTGAGCTGAGAGCTATACAGAGAAACATACACACATAGCTGTTCCTTCAAGCAGAACCATTTCCAAAATGATGCCATTAAAAGCTTGTTAAATTCCAACCAAATCCTAAGCAATAACCATAAACATATCTACAATAATGCTAATGCTTAAGTGTGTTAGCTAAATGGTCATTCTTTTCTCAATGTCTACATCTTTTTAACAGGCACAGTATGACTTCATAGTGGAAATGTTTTTTATTTATTGGAAACCCAGTGTAGGTGGATGGGTCCTTTCTTAAATCCTGCTTCTTAAAATGCAAATACTCACTTCTTTTCTAATGAGCCAATAGAGCTTGGTACCGCTGAGATTGTAACACACTGAAGATGAATCAAAATGTGATTTCTCATGATAATACTTTATAGTCTTGGGCACCTTCCATGGATTTAGGCAATTTGGTAAGTATGAGTTAAATTAGATTTCGTAAAGTTTATCACTGTTGCAAACTAAACCACTTTCATAGTCCAGAACTTTCAAACCTCAGTGATAAAATGGAAGCATAAATGTCAGATTTAGGTAGGTGTTAAGGGCTTAGTGGGACTTTCAAAAGCACCACATTATCTTTAAGCCTTTGCATAGTCACACATTTAAAAGGTCTTTTTTCAGAGGTGCTAAACGTCCTCATCTCTTGGTGAATACTGAGGCAATTATGGCTTTATAGAGGTGCGTGGCATATTGATCCATAATATCTGATCTCCAGAGATGCTGGCTGCTCTTTGCAAAATTATCTGGAGATGAGACTACACAGCAAATAAGAAGACAGTGCTTTTAAAAAACAGACTTTAGGAATCATAGCTTGTCTTCAAATAATTTTGTGTCTAAAATCCTATTTATTTAAATAGAAACAATGTAAAGCCTTAAGTTACAGCTGTTGGTTGCATTTGCAATTCATATTTGGTGTAAGTAGAGTGCCTAACTCCAGACAGCAGAATGGTGAGGGCCTTTCTTCACCAACAGGTTTTACAAAGCACGAGTAAAACTGAAAGCAAAGGATGACAATCTGAGGAATGGATTTCTTCCCAAAATGTAGTAACATTACATGAAAATGAGAAAAAGCACCTCCAATAAATGTTTTCTATCTATAAACATGTAAAGAACTCCTACTATGCTGAAAAGTAAGCAATATCACTTAACACCAAGCACTAAGCCACTGTAAGGCATGTGGTCATTAGACTAACATGTAGACAAGGTATGAGTAGCAATGTCATGGCTCTCTAATTCCACGTTTTTCAGTGTATTTGCCTCCTTGACAGCTGCTTGAATTACTGTTACACAGAGAATGGAGCAAAGCTAGAGCTATAGGTCTGTAGTGACTGTATCAAAACCCTAAGCTAATAAGATGTGAATATACGGTGTAGAGTCTTTCAGAAGCATTAATGTAGCTTCTGTGTATGCAGCAATACTTTAAAAGCTCCAGAAACATGAAATCACTTCTGCACCTCCTCTAGTGTAATCGGAGTGGTAACAAAAGTTCTTTTTTTTTTTTTTTTTTTTTTTTAATTTCTTGAGTGTCCCATTCTGCAACGGGGGGCCAGATAAAAAGCCCAGTGAAAAACAATGAGGGACTTGTGTGCCTTCAGCTTGTGTTGAAGTCAGTAGATGAACTTGTTCAATGCCTTTCAAATGACACTTTATCATACAATCTTGCCCTCAGTTTCACATCAGCATCAATCACATTACCTAATTAAAAGTGGATGGATGTAGGTGTGCTGGGCATGACTGAATTTTGAGGACAAAAACTTCTGAAATAGTCTACCATGCAAGAACTCTCTGCACCAGAGTACACTGAGCGTAGCACGTTGTTACTCCCTCTGTCAGGCAGATAACACAATCCTGTCACACAGCTGGCTGGAGGTTCCCCATGTAGACAGAGCACCCATAGGTCTGGAAGCGAACTGTGATCCCAGCCACTGCTGAGATGGCACTTGAACAAAGTGTGGACACAGCTGCTAAAGCACTTCAAATAAGAAACAATTTAAGCATAGAGATATTTTTCTCAGCTTGAAAATACTTTATGATGTGGTCAGTGGTGATAAGATAATCACTTACTTAAAATCAAGCCAGTCCCTCACTGATATTTTGGTTACTTTGACATGTTTTATTGCACCTTTTATTTAAGCACATGAGCACTGGTTTGCACATGACTGTAAATCCAGTTTAGAACAGAGCTCAGATTACTGAATATGTAAATTGGAGTTATTAAAAAGAAGACATGTTAGTAGAAAAGATCTTTTATGCATATCAGTGTAAAAATGTTTCCCAGTTAGCAGTATCTGGCCTAACTGACTGTTCTATAGAGTGAGACTGATCCCAAACATAGCAGTATGCCAGAGGAAAAACTCCAACTGATTTTGATGGGCTTTGGAGCAATCATGCAATTACTAACTATAGTACAGTTTTAAGTTATTCACAGGTTTTAAATTGCATTGGCAACTGGTGTAGTCCCTGGTCTTTCTTTTGAGCCAGGTGCAACTGTCAGATGGGCAGGTTGCACTCAACGGGGTGAAAATCCAGCCTTAGCTGGACAGCTTGAATGTCAGGTTTTCTTTGACATTGTTGAAGTTTCAGCAGCAAATTCAAGGACTAAATCTGATCTAATGAAATCTATGTCTGAGAGCAAAATTTGACTTTCTGGCTTTAAGAACCTTTTTTTTCTTTTTAGACTGGTAGAAATTAGCCTTACTGTCTCAGGTGTCCCTTCCATTGGAAATGAAAACCCCTTGGATTGTGAACTGATTATTTCCGTTGTTGTAATTGCAGAATGGGATTAGGGAGTTACAGAGAAATGGGGAAAAGCCCCTTTGTCACTCTGGAAGGCTCAAACCTTTGAGGGGTTTTGGGAGGGCCAAAACCTTTATTTTCTTTTGTCCTTTTTAACATTATCTGTTAAGTGAAATTACCTCAGTAGTTGGCGCAGGGCATTATTGAGCTGTGCTGGGGAACAGCGCACACGTACCTGGTGTCCGTATGGCAGCACATACTCTAACGGGGATGCAGAGGTGATTAGGTGATCCTGTACAAAGCTGACATGCAAAGTCATATCTGA